TTCATGTAATAATCACCATTCTTGTTTGGTTTAATTTACTCTAAATTTGTGTTTGCAAAATGAGAAATCTGCCGCAATAAGGTTGAGGAAGGAAGAGGACTTCTTATTTTTTGACAATATTCGACACAAAATTGAAAATTACTTAAATCAGGCTTTCAGAAGTAATCTAGTATTACTGGACCCAATGAAATTTATATTTGCGGTAAACCTCACGCTAACAAAAATCAATAAAATTTTTTCATTGTGTATTTTCTTATACTGAATGAGAACTGTTATAACCGATTGCGAAGAAATGAAACTTGAAAAGACGGAAATGGAATTAACTTATATCCAGGAGCAAGGCTGGATCTCGCTTGATGCCCTTGAACTCGTAGTCCGAGAAGTGAGCCATTCCTCCATTTAAACAAACGGACAAACATGTGATTAAGCAAATATTGGGGAATGCAACTCTTCGTTAGTAGAAAGTAGTTTTCAGTCCAAGTATTCAGTCAAGACATTCAAAAAATAATGCTTTTTAGAAAGAACCCAGACGATAAAATATAGCTGGTCTAGGAGGAGACAAGTGTTTTCTGGCCAGTCGCATCTTATCAAAAGCGATCAGATATCGGCAACTAAGTGTCATTAAATTTTAACCTTCATTTCCTCCACCAAAATTTTATAAATGCTAAAATTTCACCACATCAACTACTCCGTAACACGTTCACCGACTTTAAGTGCAGGTTCTTGTATCGATTAGTGTTAGTACCTCCAACTGGAAATGTAAACTAAGTAATCTACGCGGTCATAATTGGCATGATTTATTTTATGTTGACAAGCGTTGGTGGATTAAACTGGTTACCCAGACCCCGTGTTTTCATTTTAAATTCATTTAAATTGAAATGAACCTTTGGAGATGGCACAACGGAGAAAGTGATCATCATTCTATCGGGATACTCCTCTCGGATCTTAGAGATGAGTAGAGTGCCCATTCCAGAACCAGTTCCACCACCAAGTGAGTGGGTCAGCTGAAAGCCTTGGAGGCAATCACAGCATTCGGCCTCCCTTCGAACAACATCCTGAACAGCGTCAACCAACTCAGCGCCCTCTGTATAATGACCCTTTGCCCAGTTGTTACCAGCTCCGCTCTGTCCGAACACGAAGTTGTCTGGACGGAAGAGTTGACCAAAAGGACCTGCTCGGACACTGTCCATTGTTCCTGGTTCAAGGTCCACTAGGATTGCTCGTGGAACGTACTTTGTACCACTGGCCTCGTTATAATATACATTGATACGCTCGAGTTGAAGATCGGAGTCACCATGGTAACTTCCTGTTGGATCAATACCATGTTCGTCGGAGATCACTTCCCAGAACTAAAGGACAAATAACAGTTCAGTACACATATTATCTTGTATCTACAGATTTCGGCTGATTTAACAGCCCCAATCCCCTGTAATCTTCTTTAGCATTGCTTACGATAGCAAAATTAACCCACTCCTCTATCAGCAAGGGCATAACATTTACTGCACTTTTATGGCAGTATAAAATTATTTATCAACCACACTCTACATAGGACCTTTTGTCGATATTTTATCGACAAATTGGCTTGACTAAAACCTTTTGAATTTTAATCAAAGTAAAATAAACATTGATAAATTACTTTCTGAAGTTCCATGGCACAACGAGGCTTCCTATTTATTTGTTCAACTTTCACTTCCAGTTTATAACTTTATCCTTCACATGGACTACGGCAAGTTACGCTATTTATAATCAGCTGACAGCAAATGGAGTCCCTGCCCAATACGATATATTGATTTTCCCATTTCATTGTCTGTGTCTGGATTTTCTCCCCGCTGCATTGGTGAACACTCAACGCTCTTGAATATTGTCAGTTTCCTGTGTTTTAATTATATTAATTATAGTATAGATGTAAAGGAACATTATAGTCCAATTTGAGTGAGTTCCAATGGACTGAGAATGGTATTCATTTATATCAAATGGCAGGCGTCTTGATGGTTATCATTCGCCCTTTATTTGACTTCAGGCTTCACAGAGGGGAAGGAACATCAAATTGAAAAAAGTCGAAAGGGGGGGGGGAACAGAAGAGCGTTTCAAAGATGTAAGGGACAAACACAAAGGTAGAAAAAAGGTGAGGTGAGTACTGTGAAAGAAGTCGAATATGACATACGGTGGGGTGATGGTAGTTTGAAGTCAGAAAGCAACTGCCAGTTAATAGACTTTTTCGCCGTATGAGTAAACGTTGCCCAGGGTGCGCCACGTGGAGGTAAGTCTATCGCACACCCCTCTTAAGAGAATATTACCAAAGCGATTGAACGCTGTGCATCTAGATTGTCAATTTTCATCTCACGTTTCTTATTCCACCAACCGATGATATTATTCATTTGTTTTATTAATCATATTTATTTGTTTAAATTTTAGGTTCAGTGTAAAAATAAGCGCACGGGGCGAAATTTTGCAGCTCAGGAGATACTGGCGAAACTGCATCCTCAAGCAGAGACTTGGAGGGACTTACTTGATCTCTATGGACCAAATACCAGAAATGAGAAGAAACTTGAGAGTGAACTCATTGCTGAAACTCAAGTTCGTCAAGCCGTTTCGATCAAGCCTAATCTGATTCGACTTCTAAGGGAAAAAATGCTTGCTTTGGCCGATCAGAACGTAAGGTGGTATAAGTTGCTATCGATGATTAATTTTAGGATGAGAAGAAGGAACGAAAAGGAAAGTTTATGGTATCGCCCACTGATCTCCCGGTAGTTGAGTTTCATCCGGATTCTCGGACAAATGTATATTCTAACCAACCTCTCGACCTTCCATTCCGAAATTCATCATAACTTCTACCACACTATTTGTGTATATACAATTAAAGTGAATCAAACTTTTTCTACAATATTTATTTTAACCTGTCTAGTGATATGATTAAGTATGCACTGTATGGTATTACAAGATCAACTAATGAACTTGGGATCTTTATTTGTGGTCAATCTAAACAGTAAATGGTGCTCAGCATGCATCGTTAGAGGAGATTTGCGCCTTTGCCCTCTTAAAACAATGTAGCAGATAATCATATAATAGAAAGGAATTCCTTCTGGATTACTGCCATAAAGTAGTTGTTAACCGAATAAAAAATAAACGAGAAACCATTTCCAGAGAAGGACGACGGAGTATAGCGTCTGGGTAAAATAGCTGAAAATTCCGCAATCGATTCTCAAACACTGCTAATGATGAAAGAATAAGTTATCGAGTAAGAGTGAGAAGTTAATTTGAGTGTTATTATTGAACTCCTCGATAAGGTCCATAAAGGAAGCCAATGAAGTCTAGGATATTTGTCTTCGAATATGCATTTTGGACAGAAAAACTAAAATTTCCCTCCAGATTTGCAGTCGAATGTCTATCCAAATGCTTAGTTCATAATTTTATAAAGTAAACTCAGATATAGTGACTAATCTGCTGAAGAGTACTGCGGTATTAAATTTATTTTAATTAATCAACTTATTGAGAAACCTGAAATTGTCTTCAAACCTACTACAAAGCGTTGGGCACTCTTCACTTAAAGTGCAATTTTTAAGCCATCCAAAAATCTTACGTACTATATGAGTTTTGTTAGTTAATGGAATAATAGCCATAAAAATTTCTCCGAAAATGTCAACGTAAAGCGTATCTATTTTAAAAAGAGATGTTAATTGAATCTTAATTGCTACGAATGAGCCAGATAATTCTTACTGACCTGGATGTCCATTACTTTCCAAACTGGGGATTTGTCCAAATTAATAAAGGTTATTTTAGGAGGCAATTTAGACGATTCAAGTAAGAAATGCCCTAAAATGATTAGTTTTAGGCCTACATTTATATCTAAACTACGCCTCAGAGTTTTTGAAGAGGTAGGCTGTATATTTGTATAATCTGTATTAGAAATCCCAAACATAACTTTGAAAAACTAGAATTTAATTCTTACAACTTTGGTAATTGTAGCATTTTAATTCATAACATTTTGACAGGCATAAAATCTTTGCGGTGCTATCTTAACGCACTTAATCAGCCCAAATATAGTCTTGCAGTAAATAATCTTGATGATTATTTGGTGTTTTTATTTCTTCTAAA